GCCCTTATGACCTTGTAAACAGTTGATGCATATGTTATTATTTTTTACGAATGTCCATCGATGTTCGATTGGTAATTCCTTGAAGTAATTGCAACTGTACAAACGGTGGTCCTTTTTGCAGTATTGACAAGTTTTGTTGAATGGGACCTTCTCAGTATCTTCCCTTGTGTTGGTGTGGAACGCCTTAACCTTTAGTTTCCCCTTGGGTTTTAATTTGCCTTGAGGTTTTTGTTCCTTCCCTTCGACTCCACAAGCATTTTCTAATGCTGTTACTTGTGCAGCAAAGTAAGTTCTGAGTTGAGCAAAGGAAGGATAAGTCTTTGAGTTCCCTAGTGATCTTTCCCATTCTGTTCGTGTTTGCTCGTCTTGCTGCTTTATAATCTGATGTACTCCTAATGCCTCCCATGGGTTTTGGATTTCAAAGAGATTAAGTCCCTCGATGATGTCTCCCACATAATTTATCATCTCGTCTAATTCAATGGCTGATCGTTTTCTAGATGGAGTCGTTTTCAGCATTTTTTGTAAATGTGGATTGACTGCTAATCTAGGACTATCAAACTTATCTATCAATTTCTTCCATGCTATGTTGAGGGAAGTATTTTGTAATGATAGTCTGGATATCATTTTAAATGCTGATCCTTCTAGAGTGGAACGCAGATAATGGAACTTTTGTACATCACTCAACTTACTGCTTTTTAATACAAGTGATTCAAACAGGTCCTTGAATGATGGCCAGGCCATGTAATCTCCTGAGAATTTAGGAATCGGAATGTCAGGAAGACGGTTTATTTCCTTAGTTCTTCCTTCCGTTACTGAAGTCTCTTCTACCTTGTTTACTGTTTTTGGTGTCACATTGAGTTCGCGACACAATTTCCTTATTTTACTTTGTGCTTCAATGTGGCACTGGATCTCTTCCCCTTGTGCATTTTGCGTGAAATAATCATGTGTGATGAAAGTTGATGGCCAAGTTGTTTCAATATACTGATGTTCCTTATTGAACGTTTTGTGAATTTCATCAATGGCTTCCTTTATACATATTATTTCATCAATGTCTGCTTCTAAATGGGATAAGGGAAGACTTTCTATCAATGTTTTGATCGTTGCTATCCTATTAAACTGTCCTGCTGTCTTGAGCATATGTTCGTCAGATAGTTTCTCCTTGGTAGCACTACGAGTGACTCTTGTTCCACTCGCAATTGATGCTGCCACTTCATCACTGCTTTCCCTTGTTTGTTTCTTCTCTGTGTTCGACATTTTTCAATTCCCTGTGCTTATAATATTAGAGAATAATTAATTAGTACTTACAGTGATGAATCTTGATTCTTGGGTAATAGGTGGATGGTTAAGATATTTTTTCTATTACTTGATATTTTGATTACTATGATGAGTCGTTCTCTTAATTGTATCAATACCAACCAATACACCAACCTTTACTAATCCGGCTCGAAGGACCAAATGTTCGGAAATTACTTCCACAATTCAACTCGTCAGCCAAACGTGTACTAATTATCTTAGAACAATAAAACCCACTAGATGTTATGTGGGGTTGCCGGGCAAGTAAAGGGTGAATGCACTGATTAATAATTAACACAAGTCTTTAGAATTTCTATTTATTTAAATTGATTTACAAAGGTGAATTACAAATGAACTTGGTTTTCTTAATAATCTTGTAGTGTTGAAATA